ATTTTCTGAATTGCACTCCATTCCCTTTCCCCTAATACACACACACATACACACACACACACACACACACACTCACACACATACACACACCCACAGGCTACATCTCCAAGCAAACTCCTCATTTATTGGGATGCCAGGCACCTTCACTGTCTAGCATTCTGAGCCAGACCAGCATTCCTGGCCAGAAAACTGCCTCCTTTCTTAAGCCAGGAACTAGTATTTGGACACTGAATTCTCTCCAGTGCCCCTGAAGTTCTGCTGTTTATACCAATCTAGAATGCTTCTCATGAGTGAGACTGAGAAATGCCAGTGTACCAGGACCACAGCTCAAACTATGATTTCAAAGGTACAGGTATAGCAGAGCTGCTGATAGCTGGTAGGGCCCAGACTCAGTGCTTCCAAGCTGTGCTAAAAATGCTGAGGCTCCTATACATACAATCCAATCCTATTTCACCCCCACCGCATTTGGTAACTAAATTGGTATCTTTTTTTCAATCCAAGGTTTCATCGGCTTTACAGATGGAAGGGGCCTTAGAGACAATCTCGTCAGATTTAAATAAGTAAGGAATTTAGAAGTCACCTACTGAATGTCCTTCATTTTACAGGTAAGGAAACTGGGCCTCAGAATAGTGAGGGGACATGCCAAGGTCACACAAATAGAAAAACACAATGATGAGATCCAGCCTCCTTGTTTTACAGATGAAGAAACAGAAACTCGGATAAATTGAAAGGGCCAAGATTACAAATGCAAGTTAGTTACTGAACCAAGTAGATATTCAAACCCAGGTCTCCTCTGATTCCAAATGTAGTGTTCTTTCAGGTACACTAAACCAAGCCTACTCCACAAGGCTGAAAGTTGCCTTTTAATGACTCCTTTTGCTTGAATGTTAGAGCTGGGAGACATCTTAGAAACCCCCTAGCCCAGACCCTTCATTTTACAGATGAAGAAACTGAGGCTCAGAGAGACATCACAGAACCTGTGTGCTTTTGCAAGACACCAGCTATGACTTGAAAGTGACCTTCCAAAGCTAGATATTGTTTAGGTTAAAAAGAAAACTTTCTAAATCAATCTGTCAATCAAGTATACATTGAGGACTGCACCAGACATCTCCTTTGAGGTTGCCCTTGATGTTCATTTTCATCTGACTTTACCAAGATACACAGTCCACTCTCTCCTCCTCCTTCCCCGTCCCTGGTCACAAAGGCAAAGTGATTCTTTGAACATCCAAATGTATAGAAATCCATCCAGCCTCCGCCTGCATCCTCACAAAACTCCAAACTGCTCCTTCCCTCGAGGCTTCTCAAGCTTCCCTCTGTCCTAGAGGACTAGCCCCAATTAAGAATGGTCCTCTCTGCAGTCTTTTCAAGTATGTGAAGCTACTTGCTAACCTTAATTACAGTGGGAAAGTGACCTGGATATGTGTATGTTTGGGGGGAAGGGAGAGGAACAGGGAGATGCAGATGAAAGGTGAGAAGGCAGCCTTCCAACATTATCCCTCCATACCCATCCCTCCGCTCTAAGGATCCAGACAAGTCCCACCCAGATAGGCTATACTTGGGCTGATCATAGAGATCATAATAAAGGAATCCCTTGAACTTCTCCCCATGCACTCTGGGCCCCTTCCCCCCAAAATCTGTTCCTCAGTCCTCTCTCTAAACCCAGAGCTGCTCTCCCCCCATATTACTTTGCCCTCAGAGTTTCTGTCCTTATCTTCTCTCCCCTCCTCCCTCCAAGATCTACATCACTCTACTTCGGCCCACTGGAAAGAAGGAAGGAAAGAAAGGAATTAAGCATTTATTAAACACCTACTATATTAGTATATTATACTATATAATATAGTATTTAATGTAATATTATACTATATTAAACACCTACTATATTATCTCATTTGATTCTCAGAACTCTGGGAGGTAGGAGCTATTATTACCCCCATTTTATAGTTAGGGGAACTCAGGCACAAAGACTTGCCCAAGATCACACAGCTAGTAAGTGTCAGGGCAGGATTTGAAGTCGGATCTCCTTGACTCCAGGCCAGTGTTCCAGCCCCTGTGCCATCCTAGAAATCATCTAACCCAACTGCCTCTTTACATTCAAGGAAACTGAAGCTTATAGAAAGTTAAGTGACTTCACTAAGGTCATACAAGAAGCAAGATGCACAATCAGGATTCAAACCTGGGTTCTTCGCTTGCTGAGCCAGTGTGCAGTTTCTATTATACCATATCTCAAGGCCAGAAACTGCTTAGCTTTTGTTTTTGTTGGTCCCCTCCCTCCCACCCAGTCCAAAGATTTGTACATATTAAGTAGGTGTTTGTTGAATTGAAATTCTAAGAGCCTATTTTCCTCTTTCCCAGCTAATTGAAGAGGAAATAAGTGAGACCAATATTCTGTTTCCCTTATGCCCCCTTCCACACTCTCTTTAACCATTATTCCCTTTCCCTCCCCAAATATTCCCCTTCCCTCATTTAATATTTTCTTCCCTTTTTTCCCTTCTTCCAATACTTTCCCTCATAGATTCCCCTTCCCCTAATACTCCCTTAAATGCACCATTTCCCTCCCCTAATAACTTCCCCATATTCTATGTGCCCCAATATCTTTTTCCTTCTCATAATGCTCCTCTATCTCTTTTTTGCCTTTAGATATAAGCCTAGTTTTTAATTAATTTATTTAATTTAATATTTTGCAGTCCTGGTACCTAGCTCTTTCCCCATAATCTTTTATTATGTTTGAGGGCTCAGACTAAATTGGGGATTACAAATCCATCTGATGATGAGGTATGAGGTAGGATAAGGAAGATAGGGGAATGACCATGCCATTCCCAGACATCAAGAAGAAAAACATTCTCCAGTCCAACCCAAACACCTTTCTAGGCCAACTGAGAGCAACTGGGCAGCTCTAAGGTGTGGGCCTGCCTGGAGGTCTTAAGGAATACAAGCAGAGAGCTGGGTACCAACCAGCAGAGACTGATCCTGCAGCACCTGTCTCCGTCCCAATCTGACTCAGTGCCACCCACCCCAGGATGACCTTTCTAGCCACTGTCATCCTCCCATCCCCTTTTGTTTCCTCTGCTTATGCTTCTCGTTCCCTGCTCCCATCACACCCCTAATCATGCTCCTTAGAAACCACACCCCCCCCAGTCAGTTGTCTTCCTCTTCCTTTTCCAAAAAATCCCTTTTCAATACGTTCTGCTTAGGCATGCAGTCATCCAGGACCCTAAGGTAACACAAGAAAGGCTAAGTAAATCAAACTTTTCTGCTATATCCCCCCAGCCCCAAACTGCCTGGTAATCTCCTTTCCAGGCAATCTGTGTTTCTTTCCCGTCTGTCTGTCTCTGTCTCTGTCTGTCTCTGCCCCTGTGTCTCTGTCTCTCTGTCTCTCTCTCTCTCTCTTTCTCTCACCTATGCAATAATCATTGTGATGTCTTCAGGGCCTAGAAGAGTGGAAAGAGGAAGCTCAGAACCACACTATATTCTATACAATAGCAGCTCCCTTCCCTCCCCATACAACCATCAGGCTCACATCCCCTTAGCCCTCCCAGTCTGTGCTCCATGGGGACAGGCTAAGGATTAATAGTCTACAGGCACCACGAGACATTCTCTTCCCACAAACCTTCATTCATCCCTTTACACACACATACACACACACACACACACACACAGAGTAACATACAGTTGGAACTCTATACAGCAGCTTGCCATCCCACCTGAGCACTCCTTCCTCACACTCCCTGACATCCTTGCGCTCTCCTATAAGCATCAGACCAGGGACTCTCTAGCTGGCTGACCGGCCTTTGGTACCATTTCACAGAAGCACCACCCCCCTCTTCTGGCCTTATTCCTATTTTGCTCCCTCCCTCCAGCCCCTTCACCTCTCACACTCCCACCATCCCTTCTGTACCTATCTCTCCAAATGCCCACAGTCACCTCAAACCTAATTTTGACCAAATTTGAACACTTGCCCATATACCTTTTCCTTACCCGAGTCTCATCAGCCTCCTCCACCCTCGCCACCCCATCAGCTGGCTGCTGGGCTCTGGCCACACTAACACCCATAAATCATGAGGCATTGAAGAACTGCCCCTCCTCCCACTCCCTCCACAAACACACACTTTCCAGCTAAAAAGTAAAATACAAAGGGAAGGAGAGTGAAAGGGAACTGATTCCATGAGACCCTCCCCAAGGGGATGCTCTCAAGGCATCTGCCTGAGGCCCCAAGAGAGAATACTAAGTATGTGCCCTGACTCTTTAAAATTATTTCTGGCTCCTTGGACATTGAACACAAAATATCAATTAGAAATGAAAGGATCTTTGATCACCCACTCAAAAGTCCTCGTTTTACAGATGAAGAAACTAAGATCCAGGGAGATGAACCTAGAATTCTAGCTCCTAGAATGCTAGAGCTGGAAGGGAACCTGAGCCCAAATCCTTCGTTTTATAAACAAGGAAACTGAGGCCCAAAGAACTATGGGACCAAGATTATGTAGCTAGTTAGTGAGTGAGACTGGACTAAAACCCAGGTTTTCTCATTCTCCTGCCCCAACTTTTCTCATTAGCTCTGACTCTACATAAGGAGAGACCTCTCCTGCCATCAACATTCCTCATATTATCCTTCCTTGTCAGACCCCTGGCCCAAGTAGGAA